GTCATCGGCCTCAGGGGCCTGGGTGAGGGGGGCCAGCAGGGCCTCGGCCAGGTGGTCCTCCCGGCCCAGCAGGTAAGTCTTGGCCTGCTTCATCTGCTGCAGCTCCAGCAGCTCGGCCTCCAGCTCCTGCACGCGGAGGCGGCAGCCCTCCATCTCGCTCAGCTGCTGCTCCAGCTCCGAGTACTCCTGCAGCACCGAGGCGAACTCGCGCTCCGCCCGCTCCTTGCGCTGCCGCTCCTGGCTCACCTGGGAGCGCAGCACTCCCACCAGCGTCTGCAGATTCTCATTCTCTTGCTCCAGGGGCCGGGGGCCCAGCTCCAGGGAGGAGCTGTGCAGGCGGAAGGCATCGTTGCACCTGGGAGAGAGAGGGGGGCAGGAGGGCAGGGGCCTTGGTCATGGGCAAGGCCCGGGAGCCCAGCCCCGGACACGTCCATCTTTCTGGTCCACTGAGCTGCATATTCTGCTTGTCCCTCTAGATCCGCTCTGGCCCTTCTCCCCCTGACCTCAGGGGACTGCTTCAGCCAGGTTACCTGGCTCTACTGAGCTCAGCCCATGGGAGGGATGGGCGGCCGAGGGCGGGAGTGGGAGTGGCCGAGGTGGTGGGAATGTCTTCCCTAGGCTCCTTCCTGGTCAGTGCAGGCCAGGCAGCACCCTCCATGCCTTCCAGGTTCCAGGAACCTCCCTGCCCTGGCCTCTTTGGGCCTAGGCCCTAGGGAAACGGCTCCTCACTATGGCAACCCCCAGGCGCTGCAGTGTCCGCCCCCTCCCCCGCTCCTATGCCTGGTCCACACCTTTTCTTAAAAAAAATATATTTTATTGATTTTTTACAGAGAGGAAGGGAGAGGGAAGAGAGTTAGAAACATCAATGAGAGAAAAGCATCGATCAGCCGCTTCCTGCACACCCCCTACTAGGGATGTGCCTGCAACCCAGGTACATGCCCTTGACCAGAATCGAACCGGGGACTCTTCAGTCCCCAGGCCGACGCTCTATCCAGTGAGCCAAACCAGCCAGGGCTGGTCCACACCTCTTTAGTAGTCGCCCCTCAATTACTCTGTGAGAGGCACTGTCGTTTGCCAGGACCCTTATTGAAACGCCCTCTAAATACACCCCATGTATTACATCAACCAGTCATCTCCTTGAGGTTAACTGAGGTGTAGTGGTTAACCCTCCTGGCTTACTAACAGGTGACCTGGGAAGGACACCTAACCGCTGGGTTCAGTTTCCTCATCTGAGCAGCGAAGATGATAAAACACCTCCTGGCACTGCCGTGACCATTAAGCTGCTTAGCAGGGTCATGGGCTCATGGCCAGGGCTCGGTGAACGCCAGCTGCTGACTGTCCGCAGCGGGACCAGTCTCGCCAATAGCCCGGACGACGCACCAGCTCTCCTTGCCCACCCTCTCCCTGCTCTCCTGCTGGCTGGCATCCTGGGCGCTCAGACACGAGCGGCGCCCTCACCTACCGGGGGCTGCTGGTGCCCAGCTCCTTGAGGCAGGGGAAGGTGTGGATGGTGCGCCTGCGCTCCCGCTTCTCCCGGCGCACTCTCAGCTGCTCCAGGCCCCGAAGCTGCTCCACCTGGGCCTGCAGCTCCTCCACCTGGGCCTGCAGGCGCTCAACAGTCTCC